CCTCCGCTCCGCGGCGCCGCCGCCAGCAGCCCCTCCTCCCCGCCGCTCCCACAAATCAAAGCCCCTTGCGAGGGACTGGGAAATAGTTGCCTTGTCATGTAACACATTGCCCTGATTTATTATAAAATTTTAACGAAATCATGCATATTTTAACAGCCTTTAATCACTGCATGAAAATTTAATTCATGGACTGTAGCGCGTTTAAATAAATGAAGTGTTAATTCATTAGGATTAATTAATTTGTTAAAGGATTGTGTGCAAGGTTAAGGTGGAAAGAAAACTCTTTGTTGGTTTCGAGTCTTGATCGCTAGGTTTCCAGAGTGGTAATAAAATGAAAGGAAACCGCAGAACAGGCCTCTCGAGTGGGGCCTGGGATGGACTAGTAGAGAGAGCGCGCCCTCCAGAGCGCGGGAAATCCGCGCTGCAGGGGCCAAGGCGGGTCCTTCTTCTCCCGGCCCGGGAGCAGGAGGCGGTGGGTGGGCACAGCAGGCGGTGCTAAGGGGCTGGGGCGAGGACAGTGGATCAGACCCCGCCTCCTCACTCAACTCCAGGGTGACCTCTTGCGTGAGGCAAGGTTGCTCCCGCCAGCCCTTGGAGGGCAAACCCCGGCTTAATGGACAATTGATGGGCCAGCCCCGCCACCTCCTAAGCCTTCCAGCGCCTAGGGAGCCACTGTCTCGCCATCAGGCCGCCGGTCCGGGAAGCTAGGGCAGGACCCAGAGCCGCGGGAGACTGACAGGAGGCAAGTAAAGCCTAATTTGCAACCTCGGGCTAGAGCAATGGGAGAGACCTTTTCCGCCCAGGAGCCCTAACTTTAGGATGTGGGTTCTTGGGCACTTCTGAGATAGCTGCTGAACAGGCACACGCTTTAGCCTACCGACATGTCCTTTTCGGCGCCGAACTCTTATTCGTCCTTCAAGAACCCAGTAGGAATAGCAGGAAGCCACCAGATCTCTTCATTGCTGGTTACCCCTAAGGTGGACACTTTTTTTTAACTTGGTAATGTAAGAATCAGACTGAACCATAATTACATCTTCCTTCCTCACAATAAGTCTTCATAAATGTCTAAGTCAAATTCATGTCCTTTGGAAAAGGGTGTCTTCACTCCAAATTATAAATATACAAAACTCACACTTCTACACACTCCTTTAATCCAACTAACATGTATGCGGGGCTTTGTTAAGGCAAGCAGACCTAGCAATCTCTTTGTTTCAAAAAGTGGAGAGCTGCAACTCAAGGTATTCTAGACTTGTTTTCAGACACATAAACTGAAGATCACCCTAGCTGGTGCTCCGGATGGATTCTTAAAAGAAATCTGCATCTTAATAAGACGCTTATGTGCTATGAGTGGGGTTCCGAGAATTAGGCAATAAATGTTCACTATGCACTCTGAGATCATTGCTTAAAAGGTTTTCTCTCTGCCAAGGATTATGAAAGGGATCAGGTTACATAGTGCTAGGCAAAGGCTGTCTTGCAGGACTCCCACAAATAGGCATGAAAGACTTTCTTACTAGGCTTTGGGAAACTAATAGGCCACACACCATAAACTGCTCATTTCAATTTGAACCTCTCTACAAATACCAGCCACAGGTACATCCTGAGAGGAAAAAAACTCTTGTGCATATTCTGAAGAATTGAAAATCAAGTATGTAGAAAGAGTAAATTCCTGAAACATCATACAATCCACTTCTTTTCTTGTTCACTGGTACTTTTAGTTGTTTCAAACCAATGTAGACACCAAAGAGATGATAGAAAAGCAAACATTTGAAAATTAGGGACTGTAAATCTTAGCCTACAATTTTCAGTTTTTAGGTCATCTGATTTTAAAAGCCTTATAATTTGGGGGTGGAATAGCTTTTAAAAATTAAAGAAGCAACAGCTGGGCATGGTGGAGTATGCCTGTAATCCCTGCACTCAGGAGGCTGAGGCAGGAGGATCACTGTGAGTTCAAGACCAGCCTGGGCTACACAGTGAGTTCCAGGTCAGTCTCACTACATAGTGAGACCCTGTTTCAAAAAACAAAACAAAAAAATAAATAAAAACTAAAGAAGCAGGGCCTGGTGGTAATCCCAGTACTGGAGAGGCTGATGCAGGACCAGTGAGTTTGAGGCTATCCTGGGCTACATAGTAAAATTTTTTCTCACCCCCCCACCCAATAAATAAAACCCTTGCCACATTCTCGTAGTGATAGAATTTTAGAATGATTAGCAATCAAAAGCTGTTTTTATAAAAACATGAACTAAGCATCTGCTTATTAATTGCTAGTGCATTTTTTACTAATATAGCCTCAGTGAAGCTAACCAATAGGGAGGGGAAGGTTAAATTCACAAAAAATACCGAGTTGATGTGAATCTTTAAACTTAAAAGTAGCACAGGCAGGAAGTAAACATTACCTAGAAAGAACATGGTAATACTCCCAAAATACTTTTAAAAAGAAATACTTGGCAAATTTCAAATCCATCCATCCTTGGGTGGCAAATGTGAACTGCACAGTAGTAGGAGAGGAAGAGCCTAAACTTGAGGCAGAGATCCAGTTGCAGGATATAGTTCTACCCCATTCCAGCTGTGTGGTCACTAATTCTCAATTTGCTTTTCTGTAAATTGGGGATAATAGTACTAGTTGTCCCACAGGGTTTGAAAAAGGGATGAAATAGATGTTAGCAAAATATTTGATCTCAATGTTGTTTTGTTTGGTTTGTGAATAGGTATGTCTGAAAAATCTATGAAACTACCATATTTGTTACAGCAGATTATGGCAAAGAGCAAGAATGACAGTATGTGATTAAAATAAAGTCCTGAACAATATTCCCTGTTAACTCAGAAACGGCATGGGTTTAACTAAGGTATGAAATACTATTTTAGGGAGTATAGAGGGATGCTTCTGAAATTAAGCAGCTGAGAAATACTCTGGCTCAATAGATGCTCTCTCAGTTAGTTACTAAACCAGGCTACATACACACTCCAACACACTGTTGCTACATAGGTATTTGGATTAAAAAGACACAGTACTGGTTATACACAGAATTAACAGTGACATTTGCATCTTGTCCTGGTCCTTTTGGACTACTGTAAAATACTTTACACATTAGCCAATTTATAAAGTATACAGATTTCTCATTGTGGTAGCTGGAAAGTCCAAGATCAAGGCACCAGATCTGGTATCTGATGAGGCCTTTCTGCTTCAAAGATGGTGCCTCCCTGCCATGCCTTCACAGTGCCGTGTGGTACAGGGGAGTGAAGACCCTCAGGCCTTGCTTGTAAGGCACAAACCCCACTTATGAAGGCAGGACCCTCACCATCTATCACTTTCCAAAGGCTTCACCTCTTAATACTATTATTATGGGAGATGTTTCAATATATGAATTTTTTTTGGTGTGGGGGGTAGACATACATTCAGACCATAGCACCCTTCAATGTACCCTGTGACAGAAAAATTTTAGATTTCTATATTTAATATGTCAAAAAATTTTAACTATTATTGGAAAATATATGACAAAATAAGTATGTTTTATGTTGTTTTTCTGGCTACTGTTACTTCTAAAAGTAGAGGGAATGACTCTCACTACAAGGAAAGTGACTTGTTATACTTTTATGGTTTCAGTGAATCTTCAATGTCTATTATAGCCAAGATCAGCAATTTTCTCTGTAAAAAATTAGACAGTAAATACTTTAGGTTCTGAGAGACATAATGATCTTTTGCTACTATTCAGCAAGGGAGTCATAGATAGCATGTAAACAAATGAGTGTAGCTGTGTTTCAGTAAGACTGCAGAAATGATGAAATCTGAATTTTGCATAATTTTCCTATGTTATGAAATATTCTTTGGACTTAATTTTTTTAAAGCAAAACCAGGTATAGACCAGATCTGGTACATGGGCCACAGCTGGTCCACCCCAGTATTATAAAATCAATTAAAGATAATAAACTTATCTTTGTGTGTGTGTGTGTGTGTGTGTGTGTGTGTATGTGTGTATACCAGGGATCGAACTCAGGTCCTTGCACTTGCAAGGCAGGCAGCAGAACCACGGAGCTAGATCCCTGGCCCTAGATAAACTTATCTTAATCTCTATGCAGACCCTAGTCTGTATAGGCTAATTTAACAGCTGAGACACCAAAATACACAGTGCTTATGACATCCTTTATTCAATTCACATAAAAAGCATGCGTTAATGTAAAACAATATGGTATTAATGTAAAAGGGTTAGTGCACATTAGATAAACAAGTTATTAGCATACAAACCCCACTTTTAAAGGCCTCATAGGCACACCAAACATGTTTAGAATAATATGCTTTTTCAGATCTTAAATTTACAAATTGTGCTTAGTTTTTACCTATCCTCATCCCCTCAATACTCTTTAAGAAAAACAAATGTCCTACATAAAAGATGTCTATTAGCCAAGTGAAACTTTCTTTTTCATTTTTATGGAAAATAGAATAGCAAAAATGTTATCATGCATTCTGTTTCCACAAAGAACAGTCACATGCAAATAAGAACTTTATCACTTAAAAGCACCTCCCTGGGATATATATGGATGAAGAATTTGGCAAAGATGCTTTTGCACATATATATCCGAAACAGTGAAACTATGATGTTTAAGCTCTTTCAACAAACCCATCTGCTCCATATCTTCCAAAGTATAGTCAATTTCTGATTTTACACGCAAAAAGAAAGCAAATATAAGCTACCTGATATAAGATGAGTTTGCAAATATAAACTTCCTGACATAAAATGAAAACACAAATGTAAATTGCCTGATATAAAACAAATATTTTTATACAGAAAAATGTATTCTTCCATAGTAACATAACATTTTCACAAATCTGGACAAGTCACTTGTTAAAAAAAATACAAACATATACATAAAACCTAAAGAAAAAGTAAATGAATATTGGACTAAGGTCAGAGTGCTATTTCTCCACCACAGCCTTTTATAAAATCAGGCCATCACTAAACATAAATAAAAAGGGGCATACAAAATAATTTCCACTCTTGGAAAAAGCATTAAAGAATCAAGTGTCTTATGATCAGTGCAAAGACAATATTAAAAGTTTCATTTAAGTAACCCAAGTTTTGAAGATAACTAAGCCTCATTAGCAGTATCTGGTAATTCAAGAGGGCCGGGATTTAGCTCAGTGGTATCCACCTGCCTCACAAGCACAAGGTGCTGAGTTCAATCCCTGGTACTGAAAAAAACAAAAACAAAAACAAGATTCAAGAAACAAAACACATCCAGCCCAGACACATGTATTCATTAAACAAACAACTCTCTCCATTCCTCCTTCGCTCAGAAAGATCCCCAAATACAAAGATCAAAAAGTCTTTTCTAAATGATGTAAAAAGATTCAGTGGAGACATAGATGAATCCACTATTCTGACTTGACATTTGACTAAAGATTATCAATTCAAATTGTATTTATGAAAGGAAAAAAGTAACTTTAGAAACTTTTATATTCTTTTCAGGACAAAACACAAATGACAACTTCCTAATAAGTCAACTTTTAGTTGCTTTTGACGGGCTGGCATTGGAAAGGCTGCTGTGGATTTTTCTTTTTGTTGATTGATTCACATTTTTATTCCTCTTTTCAGGCACAAAGGAAGCAGACCAAGGAGACTGAAGATGGTTATGAAGACTGTGCATCTCTGAGGACATCTTAAACAAAGATGACCCAAACCTTTGATCTTCAAATAACTGATGTGAACTGCTTAACAAAACACCCTGGGAAAACTCTGTCTGAAACAAACAGCTTGGGGGTTTGATTTCATTTGTTTCTGGGTTAGAAGTGGGGTGGAGTGAAAACTCTTCATTCATTTCTTGGTCAGATGGAGAAAGGAGAAAAAAGGAAGTGGGTTTCCAATCATTTCCATTTTCTAACTGATCAGCAGTTAGAGAACCTTTGGGCAGCTTAAGCTCAGTTCTTTCTTCCAATTTAACAGGTTCCTCAAGAAATTCATTGCCTTGAGATGACTTTGATAACCCATCCAAATCCACTAACTTAAAACCATTATTACAAGGGCTCTTGCTGTTGTCCGACTCTGACATCATTGAATCCAATTCAGAGATTTTGTCAAGGTAGGCAGCGTCCATTGATGCTTCGCTAGATGTTCTTGTCCGGTTCATTTCAAAAGAACGAATAGAATTCAATCTCTTGGACAAACATGAGCTTGACTTCTCACTCAATTTTGGAGATATTTCTCCAACAGAGTTTGCTATTATGTTCCCCTCTGAATTTTCAAAATCCAAACTTTGGGCATAGCTTGTAGAACAACAATCCCAAAATCCTGTCTTTGGAGAAGCAAAACATTCTGGTTTCTTTTCATTTTCATTTCCACTTATATCAGCTTCTGAACAATCTTTATTACAAACATTTGGAGAATCACAAAAATCATCAAACACCAATTTTCTGAGGTGATTTGAGTGCTTTTTGGAACTTCCTACTTTGACCACAGAGCTCTCTCTATTTTCTGGAGTATTTAACTGAAGGCAACTAAGGGATAAATGAGTACAAGGAGCTGGAAGATCATAAAGCTCTTCATCTTTGTAGGGTACACAATTATTTGGCTTCTTACCCCACTCTCCTTCCATATAAGTATCCATACTTGTATCTGTCACATCTAACATTATTTCTACCGGTTTTTGATATAGCTCTTTGTTCTTAGGACAGTTTGGTTCTGTTTTGCTGGTGCTTTGCTGTCTTGCAGTGTTGGTGTCAGAGAGCCTGCTGCTGGAAAGTTTTGCCAGGTTAGAAGAACTGGAGGTGGATGAGCTAGGCTGCTTTCTGGCACTGTCGCCCTGATTGTTTGATGCCACATCTTCCTCACTACCCGCCTTACTATCTGCAGAAAGTGCTCTCTGGCAACTGGCCTCCACAGTTTCCTTCTCTTCACTTGAATTGTTTAGTTGTGCAACTTGAGATTCTAGTTCCTCTATATACTTATCACTTCGTTCAAGGGCTTTCTTGAGGCGACTCGTTTCACGTTCATACTGTTCTACTTTGGACTGAAGAGCAGCAACTGTAAACCTTCCAAATCTAGAAAGAATGGAAGCATAGTTAATCATATAGTTGAAGCTGTTTTCTTTTTCAAAGTTTAAGAGTATAAACTATCTCAGTCCATTCTAATTTCACATAATGACACTGCAGACCACTTAGTGAATAAGACTAAAGCAATGCCAGATGTAGTATCTTCAAAAAAGGATTTCACCACCAATGTATGAATAATATTCATATTGTAATAACAGCACAGATCTAACAGGTCATTTTAATGGTTTGATAAGACTTAGCAGTGGGAGAAGGCAGAAACTCACTCATGATTTCTCTTCCAAGAGCTAGCTCTTTCAATCCAGCTCATATATGCATGCAGTTATCCCCTAAAACAATGGCAAAGATTTATGATAACATTTGAACAGTGGTCCACATCTTGAAATATTTACATTCAATCATTTTCCTATCGTACAGCAGTGTTTTACAATACATTTCTTATACAATGTCACCTTGTCAAACATAAAACACCAATTTGAAATTCAGAAATCTTAGAAGTCCCGAGAGGGGTGGTTTTAAATACTTATTTGGACCTTTTCAATTATAGCCACCCTTGATATGAAGCTTTTCCTTTGCCTTTCTGAGCAGTGGGCTTTAATTCATTTCGGCTCTACTTATTTTTGGCATTTTACAGCTGTGTAGGACATCAATCTCATTTCTCCAACTTTGCAACACAAAGTCAGTGCTTGTGGTTCCAATATACTACACATAAAAACATTTTTATATTTTCTGAAAGGGAACATTTTAGACTGACTTAAAAGAACACATAAAAACGCACTATTTTACTTCATATTATCTTTTTTTCCATTAATGCATAAAGAAGGGTACTGGATTCAGCTCTAAAAACAATTTTTGTGCACCTAGTATAGGTTGGGCTGGTATATTTGGGGCTGGGGACACAAACATGAATAAGATTGTTTCAGTTCTAATGACCATAAAATATCTACCTTAAAATTTTATCTTGCCACTAAGAAGAATTCTGTTTCAGGAAACTGCTTCCTACAAAACAGTAAACTTAGTTCTAACACCATGAAATGTAATTCTACTTCCTGCCTAATTCTTTTCAAGAGCTTTAATCAATCTCCTTTTTGATGATTTGCATACTGATCCATTTCTAAAAATTCAGGTATTTGAAAAGGTAATGTGTAAAATCTGTGTTTATCTTTGTTTTTTTTTCTTTTCACCTAATTATAAAAAATATTTACAACTAAAAAAGTATTATTCAAAAAAATATAAGGGAGCATAAGAAGCCCACAGTATCTGCCTCTTACAGTCAACTGCAACATACTGTAGACAGCCATTTAATGCTCATCACCTCCTAAACTCCTGACCCGATTTACTTCCCAGCTCAGAACCGGCATGGTCCCCACTCACTTTTCACTAATAAAAGAAAGCAGAGGCAAAAGTAAATATAGAATCATAAAATCCCAGGATTAGAAAGGGCTCTAAAAGACATATTGTTGTATATTGATCTACTCACAGCAATTAACTAAACTCCCAGAGAGAGCACACTATCTCCAACTTCTAAAACACAAAAACCATAGGTATACAACAAAAACAAAAGCAACTACATTAACAACCCTCCCCAATTTAAAGGCAAAGTTTGCTATGAGTATCTGATTAAATGATAAGAGTTTTTTTCTTTCTTTTTGTTAAAAATGTTTTGGCTTGTAAATGCAATTCTTAATACAGCTGTAATTCTGCAAGAGAACATTAAAAAAAGTACGCAAAGACTTTTGAGTGGATTTGACAAAAATGTTTGAGTTCTTGATTGTAACATCCCTCAAATAATCAAATAACCCACATTTTTAAATGGAAAAACTGTATAGTATATTTAACACAAATGGCAAAAGTGTCAGATTTACATTTGCTTATCAAGATAAAATTTCCATTTCCTAAGTATAATTTTTATAATACAAATATTTTCATATGAAAAAAATCAAATGATTTAAATCAAATGATGCTATCAAAGGACATAACTGGGAACTCAGAGGCCTACATAAGGAAAGATTAGTGATAAAAGAAGAATGATTTCTCAAATATTAGCAGCTTCTTGTTCCAGGTTTTAGCTTGAAATTTCAAACATAATGTCATTTTAAATACTGTGTTTATCCCTATACTTCTTTCTAAATTGTAGGCACATCTTTGCCATACATAATAATTACAATTCATCTTGGGAAAATAGTACATATATATATATATGGAATCGTTTTACTTCCCTGTCTGCACCTTGGTCCCAACCCCTGTCACAGATCCCCTCCCCATTTACACAAAGTCTATCTCGATACTTCCTACCATGTCTCTTCTGTTTTGTTCTTTAAATTACTTATACTTTTTGGCTTTCTTTTTTGTATAATTAGGGATCAGATCTAGGGCCTTGTGCATGCTAGGCTAGTGCTCTACCAGTAAGTCACATTCCTATTCTTAACTGTGTTTTTGTAAGACTCAATACAAAGGGTTCTGTGTTGAAATCAATGATGTCCCTATACACATTTTTGTGTTACTTCAGAAAGAAAACTGTGATGTGCCATGCTAACCAAAAGGTCAGTGAAAGAGTGCACATGAGAGAGGCAAGTATGCACAAGTCACAGAGAGAGTTGGCTGTTTTCTAAAATCCACTGCCTCTGGCTCCCCAAAGTTCCATCATTTTAGGTTTGTAATAATTTAAATGATCAGACCATTTTACTCTGCTACTAAGTAACCCATGCTTTGGGGCAAACTGACAGAAGTGTACAGTGAAAGCTATAGAACTGATCAATTAATGAATCAGCCTATGTAACTTGCTATTGGTTCCCCTTATTAGAATGGATGCTCCAAGAGAGCAGGATGCCTGACTTTACTATACATACCAATAGGTCTTTAGAGTAATTCCCGGTATATAGCAGTTCTTATTAAATATTTCTTGAATAAATGTCATTCTCTTACTTTAAAATACATCAGTGCCCTACATTAAGACAGAGCTACAACACAGAATAAGTAAGCTAACAGGCTTTGATCCTCTTCTATATGGAAATTTTATGACCATCACTATATTACTAAATTAAATGTTTCATAATTTCACTGTTTACTCTCTTCACTGACACAAAAGGAAGCAACACAGACTGACACACAGTATAACTCTTATATCACATTCTATAAAGCTCCATCCAAAAAACTTCCATTTTTACTTTAGTAAAAGACTGCAAATAAGAGACTTTTGACATTTTAGAAGATTTTTTAAATTTAGCTTATCCAGGATATATTGATATTAAATTTAGCAAAGGGCAGTATCACATAGAAATAATAGGGATATGTATGTGATGCTATACTTCTATAAAAAAAAGGCAATGAAGAGCTTATTTGTCTTTGGGTTTTAATACCCTCTTATTCATATGAATTCCAGATATTTCCAGGGTAGATAGTATTCAATGAAGCAATGCCAAAGCAAGCCGGAGGGATTTCTAATATCACTTACCACACTTCCTTTTCCTAAGCAAATTTCAAAATGGAATATTTTTATAAACATTCCATTAGAGACCAAAAAGCTTTGATTTTCAAAGCAGCAGTGATGGCCAACGGCTTCATTATGCCAGAGAAACACTGTAGAGCAGTTTGGGAGCTGCAACTGATATTGGAAGTGCATTCTGCCAGAATCTAGCAGAAACTTAAGGGATTTTTCAGCTTGCAGTATTAACTGGCACACTGGATGAGAAAAAAGGAGAGTGCTCCCCTTGTCCAAAAAGGTACAAAGGCAGCTACGAGAATTGAGAGAAATGAAAGTCCCAATGATCTGACCTTTGAGGCATTGTTACTAAAATAAGATCATCTGTAAACAACAAAAACTTCCTAAGACAACATTTTTTCATTGCTCCTTACATAGAAGGAATAAGATACTACTGAAGGGGGACAGAGGAAAATACATAAAGTAAGAAATAAACATCTCAACCAGGTATCAAAAGAACTAAGTTCTAGGGCTACGCTGCTATCAACCAGTTGTGAAACCTGTACCTCTCTAGTTGTCAACCTCAACAAAAGGAATGAGTGCCTCAAGTCAGAGTTGCCAAGCCTACCACACTTCAGTGTCCTTCTTGAGGAACAAGCGGGTACACGACAAGTGAGCCTCTTTGTCTCCTCATGAATCTTTAATTTCATCTTTTCACTTCCTAGATAAGGTAATAGTAAAAGCAAAAGCAACATTTAGCTCTAGAACAACTTTTATGGTCTGCCCTATGTGACAGGTTTTCTGTGCTGATGCCTTTGCTTAACATGATTCGAATATGCACAAATTTGTTACCTTGTTTTAGTTAAATAGCATTAATCACTCAACAAACATGGTGCAAATTTCAGTTGCCATATTGTACTGTATTAATTATATTTGCATAAAGTAAGCCTTCTAGCTTTTCAGTTCACAAAAGGCTATACAAATAAAAGATGTGTGTTATAACCAGTCAGGTCACCTCTTTCAAAGTCAGTCAGTGATTGGTCACTGTGTTTGTGCTAAACTGTTGTCTCTTTGTCTCCCAACAGAAGACTCACAGGACATTTCAAAATATAGATAAAAGACAGAACTAGCCATCAAAGATGAAGGTGTTATACAGAAATTAAAAGTGCTCATTTTGGACATATTAGAATTAAATTTGAGTGCAGTTATGGAAGAAAAAGCTGAATGTTGGAATACTGAAACAATCCAAGTCCATTCAAGAGACTCTAAATATGCCAGAAGAAATTAGTAGAGACAAACTTACTGACAAAAACAAGAAAAGCAGTTCTGATGAAGAGACGATGTCTATAGGAAATTACAGACAAGCACTATTCAAACATTCTCCTTAGAGTCTACAGCCATACCACCCTAAACATGCCCTTAACTTGTCAAATATTCTCATGTTTCCACAAAATAAAAACATTTAAAATCTCAATGCTGCAAATATTTCAAGTTGTACTGTATAAACATTAGTGCACTAAATATTAGTTTTAATGTTTCTTTCATATCCAGATACATTAAAAACAGTAAT